GTATAGAGAGTTCATTTAGAGTATAGTGATTGAAGAGTCAGAAGGTAAGTGAGCAACTTTACATGTCCGTTTACAGGGAGTGGGTAAGCGTTGACTGGAGGTCGATTTATGAGGTACGTAACGTTGCGCGGGCACGAAAACAATATCGAATAGGTCTTAAATTGTTCACACGTAAGAACGGTGATATCGGAGCGGGTCTGTAACGAAGCGAAGCTGCGCGGCGCCTATCTTGAAAGTTAGGCTCCCGGTGAAGGTGGATTATCAAAATATCGGATAGGTTTCTGTGCCACTCTTTGCGGCAGGGTACACTGGTGTTTATGTACCTAGTCGTACTATTTTTCACGTGAACATGATCAGCTATTGGACGGTATACCGGTATAGACATAACCTTAAAGCCTGTTTACATGTAGGAAGGGGACCCCAGACAGATGAGGTATCATGTGGCGCGGCACCCCACCCATCATGTAAACGTGATCTAATGAAAATGAGAGATTATATGGACAGGCTGGTTACGCACCTAAGCGGGTTACCTCACATACCTGGGGTCCCCCACCTCCATGTAAACAGGCCCTTAGAAGTGTCAGCCTCCTAATATGCTTGGTTGATTATATTTGTCAGAAATTGTATCAGTTAGCACTTAGATTGACAGATCGGAAAAGAGACTTAAAATAGGTAAACGGCAATTAGTATGATACGTTTGATAAGAGCTTTTGTAATTGAAAACCAGGTAGGGACATCTTTCGTACACAGCTCGTGACTAATACTTTTACTCCATAATCTGGAGAGAGAGTGAGTTGTGATAGTGGAACTGAACAACTCCTTGTTTGTGATTATACTTCTTCTACATTTAAGAGAATTTTCGTGGATTTCATGGAAGTCCGGAGGCGAGTCTGATTTGCGGCATATTAATTGTCTGTTACGGTCCATTTTTCCACAGAATGAAACGAAAAAAAGAAAGTTGCCTGAGAATACCAGCGACATAACTGAGATGAAAGTCAAGTATCTCAGGTAATCAAATCTTTTTTATTTAATCCATTCCGAACCATGCATAGGCGAAGACGCCTTTCTTGCTTTGACCCTGGGGAAAGAAAACTCTTACTTTTTTTCTAGCTTCAACCCGCTTAACACAAACACCTTGTTTATACGGCACTTTTTATTGCCCACACCGTGTCCATATTAACGGAGTTTGACTGTAATAAAGATCACTTGTAATGAAGACGGCTTGTATTTCAATGTTCCTGATCATCTGTCTGTTTGTTTGCCTGTAGAAAAAACTATCCCCACAGTGTCACCCCCAAGGTTCTTCTTCTTGAATGGACGCGGTACGGTAAAGTATTTTGCTGCTGTGAAATGACTTAAAGGCCAGGCAGTTGAAAAGATAAGGGTAACTTTTTGGTGTAATTTCACCACCAATTGTTTTGCGGGCTAAGCTGGGTATAAAATTAACCGGCTAAGGAGAGGGTGTCAGCTGACGCATGAACAATGATCAGGGTAAGAGAATGGAACTGCACCACTGATAGAGGTGGACGTTTCAAAGTGACAAAGAAACAATCTTAAGTCACCATAGGTTAGGGACCTATGACCTCCCCAAAACCGGGCGGAATTTTTTTCTTTCCAACGCTCGTGACATGCTGATTGTCAGTTTATGGTCCCCATTACTCTAGGCTTTTTTCTTGCAATTTGTGTGAGACAAATTGCTTGGGACGTTGTCAAGTGTACTCCCTCTCCCGCAACGTAAGCGAATTGTGGTAATGATCGCCGCAGCCTTCGCCTGTGCGAGGGTCTCAGGAAGTAGAAACGTCGCGAAAATAAATCACACCAAGCAAAAAAAATACTACTTGGTGCATCAGGGTTTGATTTAAACCTCTTTTTCTTTCTCTAGGAGAAACAATCTCAAGCAGCCTACCTACGAAATAGTAAGTGAAAACGAAAGACGCATTAAATTGAGTGTAAGACGCTGATCCTGTCGCTGGTTTTGGACTACCGCGTTATCACTGCAAAGGTTGCACAACAATCGATGTTTCTGTTTGTACTTGAGTAGCGCATGCGTACGAGGCAGCTGTATTATAGTATTTTTCAATTAAAAAACAGAAAAACTTTTCTGTGCATGTTTTGCATTTGTAAATCGTAGTTAAACAACACTTTATAAAAACCAACCATTTTTGCTCACGAAATCTCGTGTAACATTGTACCCGAATGAATTCAAGAATGACATATCTTACAGTGTACAGTGGTATATCCTTCTTGGTAAGAAGATGGATCGATTAAATGAAGCATTTTGTTGTTGTTGTCGTTCTTGCAGACCGAACGAAAAGAAGACAGATGGTACAAAAGTATTGTAGTCGTGGACAACAAGAAATATTCTTCAACTGAATGGTAAGAAAATACTTCATTTTGGCTCACAGACTTACAAATACGAAAATCGTCTTCTTCTTCCAGCCGTCCGTTGTCTTTACAACCGCTTTTTACACGTGAGAGCTGTAAGTGCTTCTTAGAGTTCCTCAAGTGTTTAGCATATTACCATATACATGTAGTCTGGGTGGTCTGTGTAATCAGGCGCGAAACTGTAATACAGTACACTTATTCCTGCTTTGGATGAGGGTTCGGTCTTTTAATTTTTTTTTTATCCAGATATGAGGTAGGGATTACTAGGATTAGGCAGGGGGAAAGCTGCGAGGGGGGGGGGAGGGGTTGGGGGGCTTATTCGGCAAAAGAACGCTTAATAGAGACTGTGTCAATGTGCTTTCAGGGTTTGCAGTAAAAAGTCCGCTCATCAAGCCGCCGCCATTGTATGTTTACAATCACTGGGGATTCCAGACGGACGAGCAGGAGCAGATGTCACGTGACCAGCGTACGTTTTCGCCAGCGGACCCTCCTGACGTTGGAAAGAACTTTTTTCTCAGCACTAACGATCTTTCTGCCGAAAAATGTCCTACAAGAGATACTCAAGAGATACTCTATGACAATCAATCCTTAAAACCGTATTTTCCTATTTCATGAACGGCATGCGAAATCTGCTGGATCTAATGGCCATCAGCTTCATTACCATAACGTTTTGCAACACTGTGCAGCAAAAAATACTATTCACACATTCTTCCGGGAAATGATGGCTTCGACCATAGCCTTGCTTGTGAAAAGGGGAAATACATTGGAGGAAGGTGTAACATATTAACAATTTCACAACTGCGACAACTATTTATACGCGAAAAAAGAAACGAAATCAAATCGAAACTGTATGGGCTATCGAGGACAAGTCTGTTGGCAAGTATTAGTTTTATCAAAAAGTTCTTGTCTTTCTTTATAACGTCTTAAAAGCCTCAGGTCAATAACTAACATTGATCAGCACAGGGGTGGATCTAGGGTGCAGGGGGTGCGCACCCCCCCCCCCCCC